TCAGCAAATAAGATGGGAGCAGACAACAGACCTCAATCAATGTAATATTTTCTTAAAGAATGTAAATGAATTCGAAGGAGGTGGGAGAGGGCACACGTATTTGTAACACGGCTTTAAAAATATTTTTGCATTTGCATTTATTTTTAATGGCGTTTATGCCCTCTAGTGACAGTAAACGCTATTACAACTAGGTTTTTTGAATATTGACAATTTTTTTTTTCCCTTAGCTTTTTCTGTCAATATCAGCCTAAACTATTTGATCTTTGTAAAAATACACATCCGTTATTTATTCCTATTATATATTTCCTGTAGTCTCATAATTTTGCTGTAGTGGTCATTGGGAGGGAGGTGGTGTTTCTATCCAAAGTAAGGTATTCCACACATTTGTTTCTGATCTGTCAAACATACACAAAAAATGTTGCTAAATTACAATTTCTGTGATTACTTATTTTATGCTTCAAAATTCATTTGTTTTTCACTTGAAAAAATTATTCTTGTGTTCAAACAAACAAACAGAAGTTAAATACACAGCATTGTCCCTCTCATTTGTTAAGACTGTTAAAGAAAAGACCTTCTTTGCCCACATCAAGGAAAAATGGCAAAAAAAGTATGACTTGTTTTAATTATAATTCAGACCTTTGACTTATGAAATATTCCATCTTAGAGACATCAAAAAACAGTCTTTATTACATTCAGGAACAAGATAAATAGCCAATGATGCCACAAATACAGCCTCTGTTGGCTGAGATTTCTTGAATTATGGGTATGCAACATCAGATATATTCCACTCATCAGTTAAAAAAGCAGTATTGCTTTGGCAGGTGGACATCCACAGGTAAGTTTTGACGTGGCAATGCTTAAGTTACAGGCGTTTGTAACTCCAAATGCATCCATGTTTCCCAAGTTCCTACAATAGCTCAGCCTTCTGTGTGTGTTTCAAGCTGCATTTCATGCCCCCAGATCTGTCATGCAAAGCTGTAAGAAATCATGCCCGTGTTGCTCAGATCCATACTCTGAAATAGCCAGTATTTGCAAAATAAAGGAATCTACTGGCACCATCTTCCCTTGCGGTCAGGAGTCAAATATGCAAAGGTGGTGTGTCGCCTGTTGAATACAACCAGCTGAGACAAACACACGTGCCTTTAAATCCATCCATCCCTGTACAGTGACACTTAGTGAACAGATGTCCACAAACTGCAAGCAATAGCACATGCCTGACCTGTCTGGACTACATCTAGTGAAACCTAGGCATTAGTTTGATCATGTAGTTTTTGACTTGTGATTTGATAAAACTTGATTGACACATCTAGTTTGTCATAGCCTTTTTCCTTCCCTTTTTGGCTAATGAAGTAGAATGCACCTGACTGATAACAGGGATCACTATGACATCTCTTTTTCTTCACTCGTCCAGAGCATACAATATTGGGATGACACTTTTGACATTACAAAATTAGATTGTCAGTACAAATCATAAATACCCAAAGACTGACTTAAGCTTTGGCCACAATAATAGATGTATATGGAACAGACTACACAAAGCTATGAAAAGACTGCAAGGAGGAAAAAGCATGTAAAGAGAATAGGTTTGCAGGTACGGTCTGAAAAGCAGTGAGACAAGCGGGGCAGCACTAGATAAAACCTTGAAGTAGTTCCCTTTTGAAAAGTGACTGTGAAAATTGCTTAAAAAGTTTCCATATTTGTTGTGGAACAAATTGTCCCTCCATGACTGAAGGGATCAGAACTGCAGAACTTAGAATTTGTTTTAGAGATCAGGTATAATTTTTCCACTTTGAAATACAAGCACCACAAAGCTATCCTGGCATCTGAAAATGAAGTTATGTTCTCTATCAGTTTAGACTTTCCAAGGAATAGAGCAATTGCAGGTGGGGTAAAAGAAAAAAAATTCCCTTCATTTTGTGTCATCCACTTCCATTGGTGGTATTCAGCGATGTATGAGGTGTAACAAAAGGCAATGTTTAATCCAGCAGGAGGAACTCCATTAACAATTCTGGTCCTGTCTACACTGCACTAAAATCTGTGTCACTGCCCCAAAGGAGAGCAAGGCTAACCAGGGCAAATGTAGTAAAAACTCCGGTTTGTCACAAAAATGAACAAATATGTTTCTCACTCTGTGCAGGAAGGCTAATTTCTTGGAAGTCATTTTTTTCTGACCGTTACTTTATTTAAACATCTCCAACACAGTGTTCATCAACAGGAGAAAAACTAATTATTTAAGAGTAATTAATGATGTGAAAGATATTAATAGCACTAAACAATGGACAAACAACATTATATTTGGAAAATGTCACCGTACTACAACTTATCTAAGCTGAAATAGAAAAATAAAAAAAGCTACTTATTTAAAAATAAGCAGTATATCCATCTACCTGTCATTTTGCCCAGAAGGTAAGAAAAACATTGCAAAATACCTTAATGTATCAAACAATTCTGATTTCTTTTTTTTTTATTTGGCTCCATAGCACTGAAACACTGTGAAAGGGCACCTCCTTAAGTCAGTAGCTAGATCTGCACATAAATACTGAAATGTTAGGGATGGATCAGCTAATAGTTCCTGTCACTACTCCTAAAGCATCATTCTGCACTTGATTCACATAATTATAGTGTCACATTATCAACAGGATGAACTATATCCCTGAGCAACTTCAAACCAAATTAATTAGAGCCAGAAATGCCTTCTGTCCACAGCAGCCATCGGTGACAATGTGAGCTTATGAAGGTTCAGCAATTTAGCATTTCAAGTGACAGGCATCTAAATAAGGTTTAGGAATCTAGTTTAGGAGTTCTGTCCAGTAGTACTGGGCAGGTGTAAATTTTGCATTCCAAGATCTGGTTGTGTCAGGTACGTGTTGCCTTTTGAATAGCTTTCCGGTGATACACTTCGATTCAATTTAAGAAAATAGTTGGATCAGATCTAAAAGGATGAAGTAAAACCATAGCAAATACTGTAAACCGGCAACGATCATCAGTGATTTGATCCTAGGACTTGTCCCCTAAGCTCACCACCCTGGCCCCATGCCCACTGCTCACCTCACTGCTCCGCCCGAAAAAAAAAAATGGGGTTAGTTAAGTGTCAGGGATCCTCTTTGTCAAAGGGACCTTGGAAGGTCATTTATCCACTTCCGTGCCCAAAGGAAAGAACAGCTGGGCGTGTGTCACTCCTGACAGCTGATAGTCAGCTCTGGCTTTAGGAAGATAAGCACCAAAAATGCCTATGTTGTGAGGTGTAAATGTTGACGTGAACTCTCTTTCTAGTATTTTCCCAGTTTTATCTATCTTGTAATTAACACCAGCTATATTAGTAATTTAGAAGATGGATGCTATTACATTATGTCTTATGTAACAAATGTAACTCCAGTCCTGCATGTCACAAAATTAGAAATTAGCAGCATTCAAATTATGCGCAGGTGGGAGGGTGGTATTGATAGAAATATTAATGCATTTTTTCCTCTGAATATTTTACACTTGGGCATGCTTTGTAAAGCAACTAAACATTTATTTTACACAACATAATCTTTGTCAATGGCCTAAAACTTGGTCATCCATATTATATCTGTCTGGGTGACAACTTATTTGAATATTTACATTAAACACCTTCCTCTTATCTTACAAAGTGCAAACCATTCATCTTCACCTACAAGTTGATACATAATCTCCTTCTGACATATGCGAAACGCTCATTGCTAGAAGGTGTTCTCTAACCCCATATAGATTCTTCATTATCTGATATCCTTACCCTGTTACTCCCCCTTCTCATGATTAGGTGAAGAATTTGGACTGTGTGACTTGAAGACTCTCCCCCATCTTCTTTATTATTTTTCCGATTCCTGCTAACAGATAGATTTTGTCTTAGAGATAGCATTTTCCAAACACTGCCCCTCCTGCAGTTTTATTTCTTACCTTTTCTTCTGTTAACAGTTCATAAATTCTTTGCAACAGGGAATGTGCTCTCTCTCTGCTCACGAGCATAGTAAACTCACATGCTACAATCAATGTTTAGTAATAACTTCAAAACCAGTGAAGTTAAAAACAGAATGGTACTTGAAGGTAATTTATTTCTTTATTAAACTCTGTAGTATCTAATTCTGTACTTGTCCTTTGGAAGATGGCGGTCTACAGAGTGCAAAGACCTGATATCTCTTGATGTCACTGGAATGTCTCGATGTGCTTCAGCAGCAGTATGTTCTTACTTGCTGGACAAAACAATATCCAGCATCATAAAGAAAGGTGGTAGCCCACATAATTTTGATCACTGACAGGATTTGTGGTTAGAATTTGTTTTGTTGCTTTCCCGTGTCTTGATTTTTTCGGGTTTGCTTTCAGCTACACCATAGAAGGGACCTCTGGAGGTCAGCTAGTCCAGCCTCCCACTCCAAGAAGGCCTATCAACAACAACAGATTAGGTCAGCCATGCTTTTGTCTAGCCAAGTGTTGAAAATCTCCAAGGATAGAAAGTCCACAATCTCCTGGGCACCCTGTTCCAAAAATGTGCTACCCTCCAAAATGAAAGTACTATATCAACTTAAGTGAGATAACAGATTATTCAGCTTGGCACCTAACTTACCAATTGTTCTCCCTAAGATCTTGCTGATGGAAAGTGATGAGTTCTTCCAAAGAGCAGAGTAAGGACTTAACTTCAACACGGAATTTATTTTTTTTTTCCTTAGCAAGGTCACTCTCTCTCCATTGCAAAAGGGGCAGCCTGGGAAGACTGCAGCAGTAAAACATAGATGCCCACAGTTTAATGGACAGGATTCCCGACATTAGCTTGAAATTAAAATTATGTGTGCACAACAATGGACATGCTGTATGTGTATGCATATGTCTATAGAGTATTACCTACATGCAGCGAGTATTATTTGCAAGAAAAGTAAAATCTATTGTGCAATTAATTCAACTTGAAATTCAATACTTAGAAGAGATTTTGTCTTTACTAAGCATTTGGTTTTCTTTTACTAAGCATTTGGTTTTCTTTAACCCAGATATGGTGACATGGTGCCGAAGACAATAGCTGGCAAGATTTTTGGTTCAATATGCTCCCTGAGTGGGGTCTTGGTCATTGCTCTGCCAGTTCCTGTAATTGTCTCCAACTTCAGCCGTATCTACCACCAAAATCAACGAGCAGACAAGCGCAGGGCACAAAAGGTAAGCTAATTTTTCCCCCTTTTGTTGTTGAGCAGTAGATAAAATATGACTTTATATATGGTGTGTATCCTCACATGATTATTTCTTCGCAAAAGGAAATATGTATGTGCTACATGCCTAGCCCATGTCCTAGATGCAAATACTGTGTTATTTTTAGTGAAAAAAAAAAAAACAAACAAAAAAACAAAAACAAAAACCACCAAACCAAAACCGGTCCATTTATCTTTTCTGTCAAAATTTACAGATCTATTATTGTGGTCATTCATCCTGCTTGTTAGGCTAGATCTAGTATTTTCAGGTAATAGCTGCAGTTCCACCCACTGAAGATTTTTCTGTGTTTTTCAGGCAGACTTTCTTTCCACCAGACTCTTCTGCGAAAAAAAACCCAACAACCAAATAAAAAAAAAAAACTTAATGATTTCTAATGTCTATCGTAACAGCCTGCTTCACTAATCCATGTGTTTAATTCCCAGGTTCAGTCTCTGGGGAATCTGATTATTGGGGAACTTGTCTCCTCAGCTCTGGTTTGCTTTAAAGGCTTCAGAAAAAGAGCTTAATCAGGAAAAGCTGAAAGCAAAAGTCATTTTTTTCCAGCTTCCTTGATTTGCTGAATCTCTCACTAAAATACCAACTATCTCTACAACAAAACAGTTTCCCTCCCTGACCCATATGGCCAGAACGAGATGTTTACCACGAAAGACACAACCAAGTCTGGGTAGTCACCTTCATTTCTACATCACTGCCAAAGTACTAATCCTGATTCACCTCACCCAGACCTATAATGCTAAGCAACTCATTTGAAGCCCTGATAAGGGAGCCAAGATGCATTACTGTCATGGTTTAACCCCAGCCAGCAGCTAGAACCAAGCAGCCGCTCGTTTACTTCCCCCATGGTGGGATGGGGGAGAGAATTGGAAGAGTAAAACTGAGAAAAAATATCATGGGTTGAGATAAAGACAGTTTAATAGGTAGAGCAAAATGCTCACATGCAAGCAAGGCAAAACAAGGAATTCATTCACTGCTTCCCATCAGCAGGCAGGTGTTCAGCCATCTCCAGGACAGCAGGGCTCCACCACACGTAAGGGTTACTTGGAAAGACAAACGCCATCACTCTGACCATCCTTCCTTCTTCTTCCCCAGCTTTATACACTGAGCATGACATCATATGGCAAGGAATATTTCTTTGCTCAGTTGGCGTCAGCTGTCCCAGCTGTGTCTCCTCCCAACTTCTCGTGCCCCCTCGCCAGTTTACTTGCTGGTGGGGCAGTGTGAAAAGAAGAAAAGACCTTGACTGCTTACCAACAACCAAAACCACTAGTGCACTATCACACTATTCCCATCCCAAATCCAAAACAAATTATTACACCAGCTGCTAACAAAAAAAAAAAAAAAAAGAATTAACTCCAAACTCCATCCTAGCTGAAACAACCACCCCAGCTGACAACTACCTTCTGCTGGTGGCAGTCAGAAGGCTCTGGATGCACCACAGAGCTTGCCGAGGCTGAGGTGTCACCACTTGGGCTTTTTGTGGTCCCATGCCCTCTCTTCAGAAGCCCTGAGTCTCCAGTGGTCCAGGGAGGATCGCTGCTCACAGAGGAGTGCAGGCAGGCCGTGGCTGGGGACTACATACATAGACCAGGGAACACAGGCGGCCCCAGGTCACATCTGCCTCATACAGACAACAGCACCAGGTTTAGAGATATAAAATGTTTGTGTATTTCTTTCTGGCCTTTGACCAGAAAGGTCACCATTTTGACTGATCTGTTCATGGAGATGAAGTAAATGTACACAGTGATACCATTCTGAGAATATCTTAAAATCAGGAGAAACAGAGATAGCTGGCCAAAAAAGTCAGTCATAGGCCCATGCTAAAATATTGTACTTTTTAATGGTGACATCTTGGAAGAATGCTGTTAGATGAGGAAAATGGTCATAAAAGAAATAGGGCATATCACAGAAATGTCACACCTTTCTAGAAACCCGATTTCAAATATGTGCTGCTTCAGTGATCCAAATATCACCCCTTACCTATCCTACTAATTCCACCCACCCTTTTGCATGCTGTTCTGTCCCATGTGCTAGTTCCAGCTGTGCATTCCCCACTCCCACAGCTGGAACATGCGGAGAACACATCACTCGTATTTGTCAAGAACTTTTTCACTTCTGTTTACGTAATGGCAGCAGACAGAGAAAGAACAGCATATATCAGGCAGAGCACAGTGCTTCATTAGTGTGCCTCTGAGCATCGCGCCAGTCATGGATAACAGATCTGCTTGATCCCAGCAATCCATGTGCCTGTTCTGAGCTTTCATAATAACTGCAGACACAACCGCCTTACTTCAGATAGAAACTGTCTCCTACTGCATGTCATGAAAAAAAAAAAAAAAATCTATGCCTGCTTTACACTTGCCAGTGAAAGAGAGATGGACACTAGAAAATACCTTGCAAAAATTAGATTGGCAGACTGGCTGATATTCCCCATAATCTCCTCCTGAATAGAAACTGCTTGAGTGAATAACTGAGTTTTTCTCCTTGCAAAACAGTGAGCTCATTGTATGTTTCAAACAGGAATATGAAATGATGAATGGCAATCCTGCCAAGCATTTTTTTCCTCTACACCCCAGAACAATGCCAACAGTAAGGATGAGAGATTTCCTCTGACCGTGTTTATGCCCTTCTTGCTTTGGAGAAAATGGCTTTGAGGTCTGATTGACTTAGCACTGGATGTGTGTTTCATTGATATCTCCTATTGCAAAGCCAATCTCTGTCAATCTAAAATGACTGAGATGTTGAACTGAATATCACTTTGATGAACTGAAAAAATCAACAAAAAGCACTTTTTGGGTACTTTATAGTCCATATTTAGCAATATTTAACTATGAAGTATAGCCTTGCATATCACAGGAGGGTTCTACTGCATTGTATAAGAATATTCAAGCAAAAGGGTCACATTATTGAAGTTTGAAATTCGTTCTTCATTTCATAAAATAGGAGCTTTACACAGCTTTCTAAATTAAAAGTTTCCCGAGGCACCAACCTTATTTCTACTCTCTAAGGCTGAAGAACATAAGCTTGAAAGAAGGTGCTGTTTCACGGAGCACAGCATGAACCCCTGCAGGCAACCGTACTTCCTGCTGGCTACAACAGCTTCCATCTGATTGAGAGAGTTGTATATTTGAATTGTGCAACTTACTTTATCAATATCTCATATAGAAGTTTCATCAAGGTAATCTTCAGAAATAGCAAAACGTTTGGGCTGTAAGGAAACTCTGTAAAGGTCTCTGGTGAAGAGCTGAAACCTAGTCCCAGGAGCACGGGCAATTTTCAGCAGAAAAATCTTGTCACTTCTATTAGGTTTTTTTCAAGAGCCATGTCACCATTAGTATATGAATTTACTGAGTTCTGCACAGTCATTCAAGATTAGACAATTCCATTTTTTTCTTTTTGGCAAAAAGATGCTGCACATTAATGTTCAGGAGAAGGTGGAAGAGAGAAATTTATTTATGTACCACCTCATTTAAAATCCATTTTAAAGGAAACTCCTGCTTTCAATCGTGGAAATACATTTTTGTAAAAGAGACCTCAATATAAATAAAACCAAAAAAAATAAAGATTTAAATAAATAAATAAATAGAAAACAAACAAACAAAACCAAAAGTAAAATGAACAGAACACTTTCTTCTATCAGATAATAAGGTTCAAGGATGTGACCTATCCTGACAATAACAAAATAAATAAATAAATAATCCAAAATAGATATTGGAATTCAGAGCAGAACTAATTATGCCCTGTAGTCTTAAGATGCCTTTTCCTCAAGCAGTTTTATCACAACTGAGACAGTTTTGAAGAATCCTATTTGTGGAGCTTTTCTCAGCTAGAGACAACTTCAAGAGGCCAAGTTATTTTGGTTGCCCATCAGTGCCTTCAGGTGGCAAAGTCATGACAGACGTGTTGTGACTGGTACGTGTATAAAGGAAGGGAGGAGAAAAGAAAACCAAAAAGAAGGGACAGGAAAGAAAAAAAGAAATGTTTAGGTAAGCTTGGATGCAATTTCCTATTCTATATTTGACAGGTATCAAAGGTTGAGATACATCTAAACCCTCCCAGTGTCAGATTCACTGTGATGACTACCAGCACAGAGAAGGGAAAGGAGGAGGCTGCTCCACCCCAACGTACTGCAGCACCTCTTATCATGACAATGTCCTCTTCACCCTGAATGAAGCATTCCTTGCTAGATGCCTTCCCTGTTTTCCATACATCTCTTTTTCTGCATCTTTTGAAGGCAAGAGCCTTGTATCCTCTTAGCCAGCAAGTCCTAAGTGTGGGTCCATCTGCCCGTTATTGTTCACTACCTGATAACTGGAGGAACCTTAATTTTAGTTGCCTGAGCACTTTCTCCCAGGAATGACTTTGCATGGTGCCTCAACAGATCACCCAAACAACCATCAGCTCCAAAATCTGGCTTAATACATAAAATTCAACCTGAATCTTTCACGTGAGTATGGTCTTCTACCTTTACACAGCAACATATATCCTGAATATCGGCTTGGCTTTATTATTTATTGATTGTACATGATATATTTATCTGTCAAGTTATGAATAATTAGTTACTAGATAAATATAAATAGCTCTAGGATAAATTGCAACAACTGTTTAACAGCACCTGGCAGTGTAAAGCTGAGCATTTGCAGTAGGGAACCCTGCTAGCCATTAAGACTTCTTTAAATGAGAGAGGCTCAGTGGGGTTGCAGAAGCATAACTAGCAGAATAATTCACCCAAGATTTTTGAATTTAGCACAAAAGCATGTGAAACTTGAGTTTACTGAACTATAATTTGAATAGATTGTGAAAGCAAGGCACGACAACAAATATATGAACCTTATTTAATTCCATATCCATTAACGTACAAAGTAAACAGCATTTTCTTCTCTACTGCATGCTGACGTCCTATAAATTATTGTCAGCTAATCTGAAGTCAATTATTTGCAATTACTGAAAATTAGAAAATCAGAGCATGAAATGTGGGCTTGATTTTTCACTTGAAAGCAAACATACAGGATGGATTTATGAAAGGCCAAACAAAAAAATATGTAAACAACAATGTGGCTGATTTTTGGATAATTTTGGCCATTCCTCTAGGAGCCACAGTGTTGTGGTTCAACCCCAGTAGGCATCTAAGCACATCCCAGCCTCACGCTCACTCTCCTGCAGTGGGACAGGGGAGAGAATCAGAAGGGTAAAAATGCAAAAACCTCAGGGGTTGAGATAAAGATAGTTTAATAAATTTTTTAAAAGGGGATGGGGGGACAACAAAGGGGAGCAGGGAATCAAAACCAAGAAAACAATTGCTCACTACTGACTGACTGATGTGCAGCCAGTCCCAAAACAACAGCAGCCCCCACCAACGTCCACCAGCCCCAGTTTTATTGCTGAGCACCGCCATCATATGGCCTGGGATATCCCTCTGGTCAGCTGGGGTCAGCTGTCCCAGCTGTGTCCCCTCCCAACTTCTTGTGCCCCCCCAGCCTACTCGATGGCAGGACAGTCTGAGGAGCAGAAGAGGCCTTGACTCTGTATCAGCACTGCTCAGCAGTAATTAGAACATCCCTGCGTTATCAACACTGTTTTCATCACAAATCCAAAACAGCCCCACACCAGCTACTATGAAGGAATTTAACTCTATCCCAGACAAAATCAGTACACACAGAATGGCTGTGAAGGAATTCTTATATTTTAATTGCACAAGATCATTAAAAAATAATAAATATGAGGTAAGTAATTAGTAATTTTTAAGTTTTGATAGTAAGATAGTTACATAGTCTGGAGAACAGCAGAAGAGAGACAATAGGAGCTAAGTATTCCATTACCTAGGCTACCTGGGCTTCTTTCATAGCAAATTAAAGAGAGACTCTTGCCAAAAATGATCCCCAGTAGCGCAGTAAGCCCTGCCCTAAAGTGTGCCTGATAAAACCTCTCTCTTACCACAGCTAGACAGCTGAGGGCATCTTGAGTGTTAAAAGCTGGATGTTGTAAATACCCCACAGTGCTACATTTAGCACTGTTTAAAAGCTCGTGAAAGTAAATGTTTATATTTCTAAAGCTGACAGAGCTTGCTGTTATTGAATAACAGTGAATTCCACCTCTAAGTTTTAAAATTTGAAGCTGGAAAAAAAGAAGTGATGCATTTGAAAGAGAAGTCCAGTGCAAACACAAGGGATGCAGTAAGAATTAGAGCTGGTCATCAGTTTCTTTAGGAAGTTTCAGATGAGATGGTCATGATGGAATTTCATCAGAATAAGTAAAAGTACTGTATTTCAGCTACATTTTTTTTTGTCCTAGACAACGTAAAAATTACCAAAATCAAAGCTTCACATTCAACGGCCAGAAGGGAAAACCTCACAGCAAAGAAGATAATCTACTGCAGGAGAATTTAATCCTTCTTTTTTTGCTAGATATTCCATGAAAGGGGAGAGTTAGGAAGGGCTTTGCAGCAGTTGAAAGGGGCAGTTATCACTCCCTTTCTGTTGTACATGGCAGAAAATGCAGTTCGCAGACTAAAGGAAAATACAGTTCTTCTGTAACCACAGTTTTCCTGATGTCATCACATCATTTTGCTGTCCTTCATGGGAATTCAATCCCCAGTGCACAGCCCTTAAAATCCTGTGGCTGACATGAGCTTTTAATGATTCCTTGATAGGAAATGTGAGGAGTCACTAGACTACTCACGCTACAAGCTCTGACATAAATCAAGCAGAAGCACCGAAAGAAATCTTATCACTTCAACAGATTTGTAAACACCTCCACTTCCAGGAGTATTTTCTGTAAGCTGAAGTATAAGCATAGAAGCCACAATATCTGGTTCCTGTCTCAGTAATAGATGTATTGTCTTCTCTTTGGTAAATGATGTAAATTCAGGCCATCTGAATGAGCCTCAGCTAGAAAGATGTGAGCTATTACTTTCCACCTCACAAAAGCTTTCTCAGATGCAATAAATTTGTATTTGCAAAGCAATTTGAAATCTTCACGTGGAAAATACAACCTTCATATTATATGTGCTGTAGCACATTGATATATTAAGACAGTCTGATGAACTGTTATATTTTTTGTATTTCTTTATTAAATAGTGCTGCACCATAATTATTATTTCAATCACTGAAAGGGAAAACGAATATGCATGCTAAAAGGAAAAGCATAACTAATGTATGTAAAATGTTTGTTCATTAAATCTAATTAATTTCCCTGTATAAAGGGCACACTGAAAAGTACCGCAGCTAAAAAATTTGTGACTGAAATCAGTTATTTTGTGACTCTCTGTTACGCTCTGCAAAGGCATTGCTAAAGCGTCTCGAGCTCCTAAGGCTAAACAGTAGTGCTAAGAGAGACCTTTAATATATTTATGAACATAACCCAGTGCACATGTCCCAGCCCATGACTATTCTGCCATGCAGGTAAAGCTCTTCCCCCACCCTCCAGCCAGACGTGCTGGTGTGGCATCTGAAGAGCTCCACCTTGAGAATAACCTATTTTCTACCTACACAAGGGGATTTTTGATTGCCACCCCTGAGGACTCAGCCTTAACCACATTGTTGGCCCTGGATGTGCCACCAAGGAGCCCATGTGAGCCTGGAGGGTCAGAGCTGTTAAGCGTTTTCCCCCACTGGTAGGCTCCTGGGGACCACACGCCAGCCCAGCACGTTGCCCTCTTGGGTGGCTCACTGCAGCACGCCAGGCTGCCCGGGGCTGGTCAGGGTGAAAGAGTCCTGACTGGACATTTAATCCCTGTTCAGCCTCTGGGGACCCACATGGGGTGATGGAGCGTGGGGCTGCAGGTGTCCTTTCAGTGCTAACCGGAGGAAGGGGACAGTCGGAATTCACCTGTGCAGAAGCACTGTGCGGGTGATGCGGGCGCTTCACTCCTCACCGCTGGAGTGTGGTGTGTTACCTGCACAGCTGGAAAGGCTGCGAGCACCGGGGAGGGTGACAAAGCAGTGTGTTATTCTAAAATGGCCAATATATCACAAAATCAGGCAACAGCCTCTCATGTGAGCTTTTTGACTAGGTGATGCACACATGCACAGCATTATCTTATTTTCTTCCAGAACAATTAAAAGATAATAAATACAGGACATATAACATAAGCCAGACCCCAGCCATGTTTGCTGTCATGAATTTCTTGGCTCGTGTGGAGAAGATCTGTGAGTTTGAGGCTGTGAGTGCAAAGAAGCGTGGTGTTGAGTCATTCCTCATAGTCAGTTAATTATTAATCATGCCAGAGAGATCTGGTGGCTGCAGTGACCATGCTGCTTCCTTCTATAAGCGATCGGGGATTCTCAATCATTTCATGCTGACATTTAATGCCCCAGAAATTGGGGGGAGGGGGGGAAATGCTCCCTCTATTTTCTGAAAATATCAACTGAGTAATTATCAGATACGAAAACCCCTATTAATATATCAAAGTCAGTTTTTCAAGTTGTTCACTTGTGTCTCCTTCTGTGATTCAGCAGCCATTCAACTCCAGACACTGCTCAGCATTTGGCTTTCAGGATCAGAAACCAATGCATGAAGATAAACCCAGACTCCCTCTTACACCTATAATCAGTCACAAAAAATACGGAACCAGGATGCCATCCCAGAAATCATATCCCAGAAAAGCTTCTGATTTCCATATTATTGGTTGAGAGAGTCTTTTCTTAATGCTTTCCCCTAATGTTGGCTTTTAACCTTTGCACCAAAGTCAGTGGATGCAAAGTGTCCTTCACCCATGAGCCACCTTCTACTCTGGGACGAGAGCTGTCTTCGACTCTGGAATGAAAGTCACCTTCACAAGCAATGAAGCTCACCTGAGAAATCTCAAATCTCTCCCAGCGATTCAATGCCTGCAGTCTCTGAAAAATCGGGTTATGGACAGATTATGACCAACGATGACAATATTTAAGTCTGATTATACCAATAGATATGAAGAAGTAAAAAGGCTTTTAAAAGGCCTGGCAAGCATTCAGGAACCTAGCTGGGGGACAGCATAAAAAGCACTATCACATTCTGCTACTCTGAAAACCCAGAAGGCTCTGACCAGCTCACAGCAGTTGCAATATTATGTTTTTCTGAACCATTTCTTCCCCTTTAAAGAGATTTTCACTGCAGGAGCAGCTGAGATGGATGCCCATGTTCCTGATCCACAAAGCATAAGCAGTGGCACAGTTGCAGCAATGAGGGGAAAAAAAAAAAAAAAAGAAAAGGAGGCACTTAGACGCTGATCTGTCTACTCCCTCCTCCAAAATCATTATTCTTATTAGCTGATGCATGGAAACAAATAAAAACTTCTGTCATTTGCGTTTTAAATAGGAAGGCATTTGTGTTTTGCTCCACCTGGAGGAGAGATGCAATGCAGACTTTCAGCAGTTATGATATTGGTATTCATAAGCAGCTGATTCCAATTAGCAGTTTTAGATAAACAGAATAATGGATATGAGTAGAAGTGACACTCTTCCTTTTGTCTATTTGCACAGAAAGCCAGACTCGCTCGAATTCGTGCAGCAAAGAGTGGGAGTGCTAATGCCTACATGCAGAGCAAACGAAATGGCTTACTGAGTAACCAGCTGCAGCAGGTAATGTTTTCATATCCTCCACCTCCAGAGAAACGGCTTAATGACAGCCCAGCGGTACCTTATTCTATTTATCACCAGGGCAAGTCAGCTTGGGTCTTTAGGCCGTGTTATGTTTAGAGGTAGATCAAGGAAGGATAAATTGGACAATTACTATTGTTAAAGGAAGCTTAGGAGAGTCGATGACGGGGTATTAAAAGATGGGGGAAACGGCCAGATAGAAATGCTGGATTCAAATGTAGCCCACGTTTTTTGAGTTAAACCCTGTAGCAGCCCTCATTAACAAAGTACAGTGTTTGCCTCTTAGGAGGTAGGTTGGATTTATCTCATTCGGCTTTAGTCAGGCAGAACATGGGTGGTAAAACCAGGGTTCATCATCAGTGAGGGGAGGAGGTAGCTCCGGGGTACCCTTTGCACGGAGGGGTGTGAAAAGCGTTCCCTGGAAGCACTTACTTTGCGCTAAGGAGAATCTTGGTGATTACTTCAGACGCGTTGAAATCTATCGTTACCTGGAGCAAATTCCCCTGTACCCCTGCTGAGGAAGCCAGGACTGGCAGCGGGAGCCATGGGCAGTGGTGGGGAGCGGGATCCACAGCGACCTGCGCTGCCGGAGACAGCCCTTTGGCTGCCCGGAGCTGCAGCCAGCTGAGAAAGACTGAAGACGCAGTGTTTTTTTAATCCCTGCCATTTTCTGGAGTTTAGGCAATTCCCTGGGGGATACAGGAAGGCTTTCATTCCTCTATGCTCCTTCTGTTCAGTACATGTTCAAAAGCCAAACGCTTTAACCTATAGCCAGAAGAGGAGGAAGGGGCTGTCTGTCCGTCCGGTCCAGCACAAAAGGCGAACAGTCAGAGCCCTCGCTTCCGCTCCTGCTTGAAAGAACCCAAATCTTTGAACTAAGACAGCACCAAATAGCTTAATTACCATGCAGATTTCAAATATCGCCAAGTTGAATTGTAATCTTTCCTATTATCCCACTTCCTCCCCTGTTTAGTCTTCTGCTTTCTAGTGAATAATTATGAAAGCAATTAATAAACAGTGGATGCTTTCTACTTAATTCTCCATTCTCTGTCAGTAACATCTGCTATATGCTTTCCAAACTCAGCAGATTGGGATCACTGACATGAATTTTTTGTGTAAGCAGCAATACCACAAATTCTTTAGTGCTATCAAATGATCCCAGGAGGACAACTATGTTTAATTTCCTTCAAATGAGGCACATTCCCAGGAAAAAAAAAATATTTTACTGTCACTTAAATTTATGATAATTTTAAGTATGTGTTGATTCAACATTCAAAGCTTACATGTTGATTGCACTTACAAATTGTATTTTTCCATCTATGCATAAAAGACCTAAGATGGAAACAAAAGGAGGTGCAAGGGAAGGGAAGTCCTTCAAATGAGGCACATTCCCAGGAATAATCAAAATATTTTGATTAAAAAACAAACAATCACGAGAGAACTCAGGTCCAAAATGATTTGGGTTATACCGTGTAGATGGAGCGCTGCAGTTATGCTCCGTGTACAATCCAGATTAGTTCTGATCAAATATTTGGATAAGAGCCCTCTTGTTCACAAATGAGAATAATACAGAGTTCTATGTATTAACAGTCCTCCAGTGAAGAAGAACAGGCCTTTGTTAGCAAATCTGGCTCTTCCTTTGAAACACAGCACCACCACCTGCTTCACTGCCTGGAAAAAACTACGGTAAGAAAAGAGAACTGTGTTTTCCTGTGAATTCCAACACCAGCCTAGTTTTGAATGTTTTCACTATTTCTTCTAATTAATAAGCCTTTATATGAAAGCAGTTAACTGGGAAGAAAAGCCATTTTATCTTATCTGAAGGCATTACACCCACTGCATATAAATAACAGAGAGATCCTGGATGAGAGCCTCATCTAGGCTGAAAGTGACTGGCATCGGTGAGACGACAGCAGTATAGCCAAGCTGCGTATAGTCACCTTCAGTACGGTTTTCATACACTCCATAATGTTATCATTTGCACTTTTCCGCACTACAGTTCATAAACCACAATTTGTAATCCTTACACCTTCAATACTGAGTGCGGTTTTGCCTGGGAAATGTTGGGCTTTTGTAGAGGGAGAGCTGCTGTTTCCTCGGACACGAATGCGATGCTTATGGAAGCAACTGTAGAGGAGGATCCCCAAGCATCCTTTTTTGAAACTTCAGGTGCTAATCCAGATGCAGGTGCAAAGCTTCAAAGTCTTTTGGCTTCAGTTTGACACAGATCCCTGTAGAAATCACTGATGTAATTCATAACAGCCCAAATACCCTCACCTAGACCCGAAACTCCCTATAGATCAAAAGGACTACTTATTATATGCTCTCCTCGGTCAATACCTGAGTAATTATACAGCCATAAAGGATAGTGAAGTACAGCAAAGTTATTATTCAGTAATAACTAAGTGCCACGTTTACTAATAGTATATTTCTGGACAGATAACATCACAGCAATAAGCCTAATCATCCCTACATTTATATTGCTTCCTCTTTTATAATTTCCTAAGGAAACTAAGAACAAAAATATCAGTTATATTGAATTTAATCTTTGTAGATTTGGGAACTTCACAAAAAGCACACTAAAATCATGTCTTTGTATTTTTGTAATTTTGCAGGTGTTATATTTTCATGTAGAATTTACCTTATATTATAGGAAAATTGGTCAGCATTCATTAAAATACCATTTACAAATTTACATCTATTTTTACAAGTTCCAGTTGCATGTAAAAATTATATGATTTCTCTTTAAGTTTTGTATACCTAGAGGAACCTTATGTTATTTTGTCTTATTTTATAGCCTAGTTTTATATTTTCATTAAAAGACCCAGCAATGCTTCTGCTATATTTCATGGAGATCTATGTGAAAGTCTTTCTGCTCTTTCTCAAAAAAAAAAAAAAAGAGAGATTAAAAAGTTTTCCCACAACAGAAATTGCTAAATTAAAATACGATGTATGCATATGTTTAATTAAATTAAATTAAATTAATGTTCTCCTTTTGACAGCATTTCTTTGTAAATAGAATGGCTCAGTTGTTACATCACTTACATAGTAATATGTCATCCTACAGGTGCTCATCTCTTCTCCATTCGTACTTTTGGAGTATTCATTTTTATACAATATCTGCTGTAGGACAAAAAAAAAAAGAAAAGTCTTTCTTCCTATTCAGAGTATAACGTGGTTTCTTTGCCAAGATTCAGGCTGGGTCCTTTTAGAACATTTGTGAGACATTTTGTACTAGAACCTGATAGTAGCGATCTACCTTAAAAATAGTTCCAGTTGAACATTACAAACATATTTAAAAACCCTAGTAGTAGCCACAGGTTTTGCCAAAGTCTCATTAAAATCATCAAAAATATTTCTATTCATTTGGTGGGAGCTGGATTCGGCTCCCAAAGTTTCACATCTCCTCTAATCATAATGATGGAATATGTAAGCCTCTTCTTTTTTTTCTTTTTTTTTTAACAGAGGTTAAAAAAAGAAAAAAAAAAAGTCTATAAAGCAACTATTACCTTATTTCCTAAATTTGAGTAGAATCTACTTCCTTTTTTCCTTGTTTGTTGGGTCCTATAACTGGCACTGATGTTCATATGACACATGATCACAAAAATGTACGCAGAGGTTCCAAGCCGTATTCTGCAACTGCCTGGTCAGATCATGCATTCCTAAAAATTTAGTGGCAACTTGAAATTTTGGGCCCTCAGCCTGTGGAATCTGGCAATTTGCTGGTCATGGTATAATAGCAAGAGTGAGATGCCTTCTTAGTCTCGCCTCAGCCTTGAAATATCATTTGGTATAAGCATCAGCCCAGATGATACTAGGCAAAGGCGTATTTTCTTTTTTTCCAGCACTTTAAAATCAAAAGGATAAGATCTCTTCCCCTCTAGAAAATGCAGTATGGGCAATGTTATGGAATTCTGTGAAAATTACATTAATAATGAAAATAATTGCACTGAAAGTTATATTTTACGGGCTACTTTTAGCTGATTTAAGAACAGTTAATTAATAAGTATAATCAAATACATTAACTTTAGTCATTATATCGTTTCAAAATCTTTCCAGTCTACATCAAAAGTTCACTCAATAACCCTCTTTAATGGACCCTACAAATTGAATTGAGTTGAATTGAATTGAGTTGGCTGCTCCATAAAAGTTTTCGGAAGCACAAAATTACTTTTAATTGGAAAACTAGCGGAGTTCTTGGCAAACATACTGTCAGCCACTGAACGTAATCTAAAGATGGCGATTAGGTAATTTTTCTTTCTGAATTTTATGTCCACTGTGTGATCACATTCAAAATCTTGATTGTGACTGACACATGCCTTGTAGAAGTCAATTTTCAAGCAAGTTTCTTCTTTCCATATCAGCTGAGATTGGCATTCTTCAACACCACTCATTTCCACACAAACTTATGTCTGAGTGAAGAACAGAAGAAATGGAAATAAAAATAATATGCCTATGAAAGTATTTCCATTTCTTGCAAACACTTGGCTACATTTGTTACTCTACTGACTTTGCTCACATAATTCATATTAGCACTGTATTGTAATGCTCCTGGAAAACATCAGCACCTTTCCAATTAGCACATCATTCTTTAGGGGGAAAAAATAATGTTTCTCATTCTAATACACAAAGACACAGCAGTCTCACAAACTGTATGTGAACAAGACTGTGTAGAGTGTAAAACAACCCAGAAAATGCTCCCTAAACCATTCTCAGAATATGCAGACTGATTCCAGCAGTAACTGGAAAGATTTTTTCTTTAGAAGGAGGCTTTCTCAAATTGCTTATGAACATATCTTATCTTGACTTAGTTTGGGCTGCAACTTTAAAGTGACTGTTAGAATTCCTCACTTTCTTCCCCCCATCCCGCTTAAGCAACACGATTATTTCGCTCTTTTTTTGCACACAAAGATAATGTGAAAATCACAGCTATGTGTGAAATGCCCCCTAAACACCTACCAAGTCATCGTAAACCAGCAGTTTGCTTGAATTTGGATTCAGGTCTATGACAACCCTATACCAAGTGCTGTTGATGCTGGGATTGATTAAACAAAGATTGCATGAATAAGGACTACTTCATTTAACTAAATCCTCAGTCTTCTAAACTGCTTTCAATACATTAATCTACAGTAATTAGGAATTTTTTTGATGCTTTTACATAACTGTCCCATCTCCTCTAATAAAAACTTCTATTAAATTGAATCTTTTACATAGATGCACACCTCGAAGCACACTGTTTCAGATCCTGATTTCTAACACGTAATTCAACAGGAAGCTTTGTAAACTCATCTGGAAAATACGCATGATTTTTGTTTATTATAGTTCAATACAATAAATCTTATTTATTTCCAAATGACATTTCGAGCATTTACATAAGCACCACTTGCATTTTTATTAATAAACATAATCCCCTATTCTGCGGCACTTCATAGATTATACAGATATTTAAACTACATTACAGCCATGTGCTATTTTACAGAGTAATTTGGATTAACTTTTTTTTTATTTAGAGCTCTGAGCGTTTTGTTCCAGCGTTTATATTTGCATTGGTTTTCAGCCCAGGTTAATAAGGGGTAAACACCATAATCAAGAATAAGCTGTCTAACTTTCCCAGTTTATTCAGTTCTGTCAACTTAAGCCTTTAAACAATCATGATTAATATGTTTGCTTTAATTGTCTTTCTGTGTGTGCTTTGTCCCATTGCTGGATTGCGCCGGGCTAGAACCACGAGTTTGTGGATGAGCAAGTCTATGAAGAGAGCTGTATGGAGGTTTCCACAGTCAATAGACCCCCCAGCCACAGCCCCTCTCTCTCGTCCCAACAAGGCGTTACCAGCACGTGCTGCTCACGAAGACATAAAAAGACTTACCGCATCCCAAACACCACCATCACCGGCAGCCGCCCAGGCAGCGTACAAGAGCTCAGCACCATCCAGATCAGATGCGTGGAGAGGACGCCTCTGTCTAACAGGTATTTCCCCACGCATCAGCCCACCCACAGCCGAAGCCCCTTCCTTCCTTAGAGAATAGATGTAGAGGTGTCGTGGCCTCTGCAGGTAGGCCGCGAGGCGAAAGATGAAAGTCAGATAGTCATCCAAGAACGGACACTGGTACTGAAACACGTAGTTCGCGCCAAGATTAATCCAAGACAACATAATGGTCCCTCTCTATAACCATTTCTGCCCTCTCATGCCCTCCCCACAAACTACTGTGCACTATTTGCAGCGAATAGCATCCAGGGACCCCAAATTAAATAGAGCGCCAAATATTGTATGTCATGGACAAACACATAACAAGAAAAATTTAGCACAGAAAAATGTGCAATTCAGATATATGAGACGAGCAAGTGGGAAGAGAGAGAAAGGTCTGTCCCTGCTGTGTCTACTGGTTTGCTTCAGAAGCACCGGACAAATAAGACTTCTCGCATTTCCACAGAACAGAGAAATAAAACTGATTCCCGGGGTCCTAAGCATAACAGCCATAAGAAAGACTCCTCTAAATAACAGATATGAAATGGAGAAGAAAAATGTATTTCCTAGTTTGAGGAGTTATTATGAAAGCAAGGAAAGAGCCGTTCAGGACTCTGTAATTTACTGAACATCTCTGCACTCACAAGTAAACTTCAGGCGTATCCAAACAACACCTCTGAAAACACAGCCAAGGTCTCAGGAGATTCAGTGTTTTCTATCGAACTCAAAAATGCCCCCATTAAAAAAAAAAAAAAAAAAAAGAAGTGTTTTCAGCAGTAGTTGCTATAGAGATTGTCTTGTTGAGGTACATTTTGAGTAGCTTACTTTGTATAGGTACCAGGTTTGGATTTCACTTCCAGGAACAATCCAGCAGCTTGTAGCTGTTGCGCAATGAGACCTCCTGGCCAGCACAAAGCTCCAATCTGTTTTAGCTTTTCAGGAAATATTCTGCCCGGATCCATCCTTTCTCTGCTACAGGACTTTCCTGCACCAGACTTCCAGTCACAGCATATGTAAAAACACAAAGCACCAGCTTTGTACTAAAAAACAAGCACAAAATGCCAGTCTTGCCTCAAAAGGGTCTGAGCTTTACAAGTTTCTTATGATGCTGAGGTCCTGCAGCAACTCTACAAACATGTTAGCCTTTATTAGGGCATATATCACCATGTCTTACTCTTTGAGGATACATAATATATCAAATGTTCTTAAAAAAGCATGGCACGGAGGAATTGGTGGGGACTGGGACCACCCCTTAGTTTCCAGTTTCCTCCATAGCAAGTCTGTGCGAAGTTTGCTCCCCAGTGAGCCACAAAAATGCTTCCTCTGCTCAGAAACCCTCAGGTGATGTGCTGAGAAACTTTTAGAAGCGCTGAAACGGTGGGAAGGAAGGGAGAAAGGGGGCCTGTCCATGGGCATAGCCATGGACCACCTGCTGCCGGGGTGCAGGGTGGTGGGGTGGTGCCGCGTGGCACCTCGGTGCCTCTTGGCATCCTGGGGGGAGGATGGAGACAGCCAGCTCGGGGAGCGGAATCGGGCACAGGGGAGGTTTGCAGTGAGGTGGACTTTCTTTCTTCATGGGTTTTTGTTTCTTCCTGCAGCCGCTCCAGCTTAAATGCCAAAGTGGAAGAGTGCGTGAAACTAAACTGTGAGCAGCCTTACGTCACTACAGCAATAATTAGCATCCCGACACCCCCAGTCACCACACCCGAAGGAGATGATAGGCCAGAGTCTCCCGAGTATTCGGGAGGAAACATTGTCAGAGTATCCGCTTTATAAAATAAGGAATTATTTATAAATTAGCATAAAGACCACTTGCAAGCTGAGCTCGAGCAGTGAGAAACGAGTGGCGAGGAATGATGAGAGAGCCGACAAAGACAACGCCCCTTCACGTGTGCGCCCACGGCTGCAGACCGAGAGGTGCGGGAGAAACAAAATGCTCTGTGGGTTTCGGTGTCGTAGCGTGTGAACCAAAAGGAGTTTCTTACCCCTTATCCGAACCGACGCGCGGTGGAATCTTCTGTGACCATCCTGACTTACTATATGAGCACAATGAAATGTCCCCATTGATGCTTCTTCTTATCATGAGAGCTCTTTTTAGAAAAACAAAAAAAA